TTATCTCCTCTCCACTATGGGGAGAGGCCTTGTCTCTCTTGATTGGTGCTGGTCCAAAGACACAGAAAAGCCTTGCGTGGAGTCACTGAGGGCATGCTGGCTCCCCGCCCAGGGCCGTGGCCCCGCTGGCCCATGCTGGCCTCAGGACATCTGCATGCCTCTAGCCTCAAAACCTAACACCCTCCTCATCTGTCCAAATGCACAAAAATCTTAAGCTCTGGAAGATGTTACCAAATGTATATTAAAAAAAAAATCCTTACTTGAGGATGTTTATTGATTTTAGAGAGAGAGAGAGAGAGAGGGAGGGAGACATTGATCAGTTGCCTCCTGTATGCACCCCAACTGGGGATCAAACTTGCAACCTAGGTGTGTGCCCTCACTGGGAATTGAACCCATGACCTTCTGGAGTACAGGTCGACATTCCAGCCAACTGAGTTACCTGGCCAGGGCACCAAACATACATTTTTCAAGAAATGTTTAAATTACATTCTGAAGGTGTAAAACAAACCAGAAAGTCACTATAATTCAATGGTAAGAGTCAGAAAGATCAAATACCAAAGAAGAAGAAAAGTAAAGATTTTTATCTTGTAAATAGGAGATAATGTGATGCTTTAATATTTTCTGGATAAAAGTCAAGGGGTGGGTGAGATTTGAGTCCTGCATGAGAGACAGGCCATTTTATCAGAGAGAAAAAAGGAGGTTGTGATAAGAAACCTCCGGGAAAGTCGCAGCGACACCTGATATTTCCTCCCTCTTTGCCCCACGGCACACTGGCTGGGTGGGCCTCCCCTCCCCACGGCTCCCCAAAGGCTGCGACTGGGCCTGATCCATCTTTGTGTGGCCCCAGCACTCAGCACAGGACGTGACATACTTTACAGATTTGTCGAGCAGAGCCAAGCCTCCTAGTTATGAGATGGAAAAATCACTTTATTGATGTTAAGTGCTGGTAACTACCCCCAAATGCAAGAATGCTGTGCCCAGGCCTCCTCTGCAGGTCCCAGCTCACACTCGCAGTGTTTGGAGCTCAGAATCTCCCCCTGCAGCTGGTACTCTGCTATCCACTGTCCCTGGACCAACTGAGATCTGGAAACTCAAACCTGGTGATCTTCTCTTCAAATGCTATACCTGCAATTCCAAACTCTACCACAAGGTGGCAGTTAGAATTACAGAAACCTTTCAAAACTAGTTTAATCTCTACAACTATTCACCTTAAATTGAAACACGATACATTCATACACACACCTTAAATTGAAGCAAGATACATACACACATCTATTTTTTAACTTATCACATTGGCATCGATTTAGGGGTATGGCTTGGGGAAACATGCAGTGTTCATTCGCTCTTGGTGGGAATGTAAATTAGTACCTCTTCCTGGAGGGCAATTTGGCAATGCACATCAAAAGCCTTAAACATGTGCAAACCCTTTGGTTCCACAATCCAACTTCCAGACATTTATCCTGAGGAGATAATCGTGGACTGAAAGGGTGAAAAATTGTCAGTATAAATACTGTAACTTGGAACCTGGTTAAATAAATTATATATGATAAAATACCATGTAGTTATTACATCCTATAAGAATTCTTAATGATGTGGAAAAATTTCATGATACATTAAGTGAAAAAAAGAAAAACTACCAAAAAAATGTCCACTGTAATTTCAGTTTTAAACTAAGGAATATAAGAAGAAACTTATGCATAAAAAATGCTGGAAGAACAAACACCAAAATATTGACAGGATTTGTCTGTGGGTGTGAGGATCATGGATAGTTGCTTTTTCCTTTTTTATGCTTTCTCTATTTTGGAAAGGCTTTATAATAAGCACATTTCTGTTGTCATCGCCAGAGAGCGATCAGTGAAGTCTTGTGGCAGAAAGGAAGGGCTGCCCTCTGGCCGAGGCTGCGGTGGACACGGCCCGCGCCTTGTTGGGCCACATCCGACCCCACAGACGTGGGTGGGTCCTATGTCCTCCCTGCCCCCACTGTCGGGTCTACAAAGGGACCTGGTTGCAGCTGGCCTTGCTCAGGGGAGGGGATTCATCTGGAAAACTCAGACGGCACAGTCTCCACCACAACCTTCCTGGGGACTATTTTCTTGCTCTCCCTTCCCCTTAGGAAGTGACATGGTGTAGGCACAGACTTAAAAAAAAAAACAACACAAAACCCACTGAGGCTGGTTCTGAGGTTTACTAGGTAACCCTAAACCTGCAACTGATCCTTCGGCAAACGCTGCCAATGCCCGTGGTGGATGGGAATGATTTCCCAGGCTCTTCCTTCCTCCCCTGGAGGCTTCTGTGCACGAGGAAAGAGCGTGACACTCCCGACGGGCTCTGCCTGCGTCACCCACCCGCCCTCCGGCCCTGCGGGCGTGATGTCCCCAGGCTCTGAGGGGCAGAGCAGCCTGCCTGAGGGTGCACCGCTGAGCCAGGACCCGACCTTGGTTGGAGCGACGGGAATTGGGGTGATGCTCGGTGCTCAGGTGGCTCCGGCCCCCGCGCAGAGGCACTCGCTGGACCTCTGGGATGACCGCGTGGAGCGGAGCGGAGGGGAGCGGAGCGGTCTGTGAATGGCCCCAGGCTGGGAGCCAGGCCCTCCATCAGCCAAGATCCGAGCTTTCAGCCCCAGAACGCCTGGGTCCTGCGAGCCTCCTGCCTGGTCCTGCCCCACTGGTCTCCTCTGCCTGCGGGGGAGCAGGGATGGGTGTCACCTGCACGCAGTGGCAGTGCCCAAATGAGGGGGCCCGGAGCCACACAGCTGGGCGCACGGGCTGGCGCCTGGGCGGCAGGCTCAGGCGCGGAGCCCAGCAGCGTGCAGGGCTGGCCCGGCCGCGGAAGAGGCCCAGGCTGGCGTGGGCACAGTGGTGGGCCTGCCGACTGGGGCTGGGCGACCTCAGGAAAAGGGGTGACTCGGCCCTGGGCAATTGTGGGCATGACATCGGCTTCCCCTCGCCGCTGCCTCGTGCGGCCTGCTCCCGGCTGCTTCCCAGGGGTGACCCGCCCGAGGGCCGAGGGCACTGGCCAGAGCCGCCTGCACACAGCCGGTAAGGAAGGCCTGCTGTCCCCTCGCCTCCTTCCCAGGTAGCTCGCAACTTCACACCAGATGGACACACACGGGACATCATCCCCCGGCCTCCCCACCGGCACATTCTCAGAGCCCGCCTCTGGCCCAGGGGGCGCCAGGCATCGCACACGCTCGCCCCCTCAGGCTAGAATCCTAGCCCTTGGTGTGCCCTGACCCGGCTACTGTCCGCTGTGACCTGCAATGTCTGGGTGTCCCAAGGATGACCTCACTTCACCTGAACCCCAGCTCCCCTCTTCACAGGGAAGAAAATGGAGACTTAGGGCAGCCAAGCGCCCCAAGCCCTGGGTTCAACCCCAGGCCGCCTGACTCCACACCGAGACTCCAGCCCGTGGCCCACAGAGGCCCCCGCTCCCCATCCCCGCCCCTGCATCCACCATCAGCCACTGTCGTCTCTGACGCAGGGAGAAAGGAGTCCTGGGTTGCCATGTGCTCAGAGGAGACGGCAGCGAGGGAAGAGGAAGACCCCCCTCACCAGCCACACCCGCGGCCCCTGGGACCCGCGCACCTACAGGCAAGAGCAGCCTGGAGGGTAGAGTTAGCAAGGTTGTTGGAGGGGTCTGGAACTTTTCAGTTCTCCTGAGCTGGTGAAGCAATTGGTGCCAAGACGTGAGGCTGAAATATTCCAGCAAAAGCCTGTGGTCCTCATGAGGGGCCCTGACTCCTCCCAGGTCAGGGAAGGCTGCAGGGGAGGTGGCTGCCCTGGCCCCGGGGGTCCCGCAGGAGGACGGGGCGCCTGGCTGGGACTTGACGAGGAACAGGGTCTCTGGCCAGGGAGGCTGCTACTGGCCGCTGGGGAGCTGGCCCGGCTGCCCCACGGAGCCCAGGCTCAGTCTGGAGCCCAGTGCCGGCGGCTCCGGGCATGAGGTAAATGTCCCCAGAGCCCCCGTGGAGTCCCCGAGGGCCTGGCTCGTGGTGTGTCCTGTGCTGCTGTCACCTCCTCAGTCTCATTGACTCCCAACCCCAAGGCTGTGGGGGGCCTCCTTCCCCGGTTTCACACAGCAGGAACCTGAAGCTCAGAGACGGAGCTCCTTCCCCAAGGCCCCAGGCAGGAGGCATGGCGTGCAGTCCAAGCCTGGGTCTCCCAGTGCCCCGGCCTGACCCTTCCCCAGCCTCCCAGGGAGGCAGCCTCCGCGGGACGGGGACCCACCTTGCCTCCTTCACCGGCCCGTCCGCAGCCTGAACAGGTCTGGCCACTGGAGAAGCCCCTGAATCAATCCACATGTCCCCTCCTTCATCTCTCTGGCCGGAGGCCCAGGACAGACACGTCCCCCATCCTGACGGTCCTGCCACACTCTCCTCCCCCCGGGCCGTCCCCCCACCCCCGCCCTGACGCCGCTGCAGGGCTCCTGTGGGGCCGGCCTCGCCCAGCGACCTTTCAGCTTGCTTCTGGTGCAGCTCCCGACCAGCCTGGGCGGGGGGTGTTGATTCCAAACGTGAGCTCAGTTTTAGGTTTAACTGTGAAAGACCCAGCAAGCGATGACACCACAAGGGCCCAGCGGAAACGGACCGACGTCCGGCTCCGAGTGGGACACAGTGGGGTGGGCGGGGCAGGCAGCTCTCTGTGCACGGGACAGGGCGCTCCACAGCCAAGGGCCGGGCCGGGCCGGGGAGCTGCGCCGGCGGGACGTGGCAGTGCCGAGCCGGCCCTGCGTGGGGAGCGGGCCCAGGACCCCAGGGCGGCGCCTACTCAGAGCCCCGCTGCTTCGCCTGCCCGGCAGCTGGAGCCAAGCCCGCCTGCGGCCAGCCCCGCACGTCTGCAGGACCTTCCTGCCCAGAGCTGATAATGCCAACCCTGCGCAGAAAGCCCAGAGTCCCCGGGGAGCAGAGGAGGAGGAGCGCAGGCAGTTAAATAGAGGCTCAGAGGGAGAATGCTGGCTTGAGAGAAAAGGGCAGAGAGAGCAAAAAATAAATGGCAAATTACCGGGTAGCCATCTCGTCCTGATTGCCCCTGTGGTAATTAATACGTCATTAATAATCAGACTTTCGGCAGAAAACCATATGGCAACACTTAGCACTCAGTCAGGCCCCAGACTGCCCCCGCCCCCAATGCTCTAGGGTTTGCGGCAGAGGCTACTGGAGGGAGACCAATGCCTTCGTGGGGGGCTCAGGGCTTGGGCGGGTCTGGGGCTCGGAGCACCCGTTTCCTGCCCCATTCGGCCCGGCTGAGGGGCCACCAGGACACGCGTCCATGCGAGTCCCTCCTCGCCCCCCCTGTCAGTCAGCACCCGTGGTGAGGGCCACATGGGGACATGGGGTTTCCAGGGGCAGTGTCACAGCCACCGTGGAAAATGCTCCTGAAATGCTGGGGGGCCTAGAGAGCAGACAGCGCGTCCTGCCTGCTGCTGCCCGGGACTGGTGGGCCGAGGAAGCCGGCTGGGGAAGGCACGGCAGGGGAGGCACCGCTGTTCCTTTGTGCTCTGCTCCCCGGGCTCGGAGCGGCGTCTCACAGGCTGGCACCTGCCTCGGGCAGCAGCTTCCGGGCTCTGCATTGTTTAATGCATATAATAGTTTTACAGCCAAGTTCAAAGCCCCCGCTCCACAGCCCTCTGCTGCACTGTGTGACGCACTGCAGCGAGCTCACACAGGCTGCCTCCGTGTGACCGCGGGACTGACTCAGCAGTGGGAAGCTGCGGTGGCCCAGGAGCCTGCACATTCTTGCTGGCTCACATTCTGGCTCGGTGAGGTGCTACGTGCCTCGAGAAGCCCAGACTCCAAAGGGTGCGATCGGGAAATGAATCATGACAAGTGGAAGTCAAAAAGAAAAGCTCATCTGAAAGGAATTCCTTTAGAAGGTGCATTTTGACTCAAGCAGATTCTCAATGAGCATCCTGAGTGGATTCACCGGGCCTTTGCAGGCTGCTCAAAGGCAGGCTTGACACACTTCTTGGACAAGAACCTGATTTCCAGGTGGGCTCTGCCCTGCAGTCAATGCTGCTTGGGGGCGCCGGCCCCCTCCCCCGCCTTTTGCAAACCCAATACCCTCTTGGTCAGCTGCCCAACCCAGGGAGCCAAACGTATTTTGGCAAAGAAGAGAGACAGACCCCAGAACCTAGTGACTCAGCCAGACTCATTCCCGGCACATCTACCTGACTCCAGAGCCCCTTTTGCCAAAGCACGGAAGACAAAACCATGGAGAAAGACCGACTGCGGCTGCGCAGTGAGAAAGTGTGGGCGTGGCGCCCACCCTTCTCTGAGCCCAGGGGCCGGGGTCGTAGGGGGGCAGCAGCCTCTGGGTCTCCCTTTTCTGTTTAGGACACGCCTCTCTAACTAAGCATTATTTTCATGGAAGTGCTACAGAGAGAGAATAAAACGTCTTATCTTTCTGGAGCAGACAGCACAATCCGGGGCACTTACGGGAGGACCTGCAAAACACAAGCAGAGAGACCGCCGTCAGAGCCTGAGCGAAGGAGGGTCCCTTCCCCGGGCCCCGCCTCGCGCAAGCTCAGGGCGTTGGTGCTGCCCCAGCCGCAAAGCCAGAGGCAGACAGAGGGAGCCCCTGTGCCCTCAGCGGGCAGGGCGGGGTGGGGGCGATGCCAGTCCTGCACGGGTGGGCTGGTGTGTCCATTCCAGGAGGCTGCTGCTGGCCCCGCGTGGGCCCGGCGTTGGACTTTGGCCACACGAGTAGGCATCAGACTGCATTCCTCCCTGAAGGACACACATTGGTGGTCACTGGAGAGTCCGCTCATTTCTACAGAAGGGACGTAATTGGGGAGGAAACATTTGGGGTGGAGGGAGGAATAAGCAGAGGGCCCTGGGAAGTGCGTGGCCCAGCAGATGCGGCAGGTGCCTGAGGCCCAGCCCCGGCATTAGGGGCCCCAGCCAGCGTGCACAGGGGACTTGAAGGGGGTGGGTCTAGAAGCTCAGGTGCTGCTTCGGGAAAGGCTGGTGCAGCCAGCGCGGCTTGTCCCCAGAGATGTGGACTCAGGGAGAACGCTTTTGACACCAACAGGTGTCCTCGTGGTGTGCACAGCACAGTGTGTATCCATGACTGCATTTGACCTTCTCAGCAACTTGTGAGCACTATGATGAACACATCCATCTGATGGATGACAACAGAAAGAAGTGGCTTGTCTAAGGCCGCATGCTTGGTTGGGTGTGGCGCTCGTCCAGGAAGAAGGCCTCTCAACTCACACCCTCCACGCTTTCCATGGAGCAATGCCTGCTCATGGCAGATGCGGGACCTGCGTGTGGAGAGTGAGGCCGCGTGGGGAGGTGAGCCCTGGGGCCCTGGGGCAAGACCTCAGACTCACAGAACTTTCCTTGAGTGAAGGAAAGTTCCACGGCGAAAGCACAGGACCCCAGCAGGGCTCGCCCCAAGCTGCTGGAAGCGAGGCTGAGTCCAGAGGGAGAAGGATGATTTCTGGGCGAGAAAGGGGGACAGAGGTGCCTGGCAAAGAGAAGCTCAGAACACGCCCTGGTCACTGGGCTTTGGAGGGCGGCAGCAGGAGAAGCCCGGGGGAGGGCCGGGCTGGCCCGGGCATGGGGCTGCCTCCCCGCTGTGACCCAGGGGGTGGGGGGGTCACGGAGGGGCAGGGCGCCAAGGGATCCTGCGTGGAGGGGTGATTTAAGGGGCAGGACTGAGCATGGGGACACGCTGCTGCTGTTCCTGTGTAGGCGACGGCAGCCGAGGCTCGTGCTGGCAGTGGAGACGGAGAGAAATGAGTGTGAAGACCCTTGTCAGTGACTTATCACCCATTTAATGGTGGAAGGGGGGCGGGGGGGCGCATGCGGCACAGAGGAAGGAGAGAGGCAAGACAAAGATTTCTGCCTCAAAAACTGATGTATGATGGCACTAATGCCCAAGAATGGTCACATGGGGGCTATGTGTTCCCTGTGCCTAGACTAGGGACAGGCCAGGGTATCGGCCATTGGGACAGCTGTACGGCAGATGCCTCACTTTCAGCCAAGGACCTTGCTCCCTGCTTTACCAAGGAAAGAAAAGCCACTGGATAGATGCGCTGTCCTCTTTCTGACGCCCTGCGCACAGCCCTGCCTGCGCCTGCAGCCGGGCCCGGCCTCCACCCCAGCCCCTCGGGCTGAGTCCGAGGGGTGACTCGCTTGCCCTGCTGGGGCCCCGCCGCCCCCACCATCCCCCCCGCCCGTCACAGCCGAGGCTGCTCACAAGCAGACCCTTCCGGCAGCTCCGACGTGTGCTCCGAGGCCTCTGATTATATTTTATAATTAAAATTTTTTTCAATTACAGTTGACATACAGTATTATATTAGTTTCAAGTGTACAACAGAGTGATTAGACATTCATACACTTACGAAGTGATTGCCCGGGTTAGTCCAGTGCCCGCCCCCGCCCCTGGCACGAGCCATGGTTATTAGGGTACTATTGGCTGTACTCCCTGCACTTTACATCCCCGTGACCATATTGGAACTGCCAATTTGCACTTCTTAATCCCTTCACTTTCTCACCCCGCCCCCAAACCTTCTCCTGTCTGGCAACCATGAAAATGTTCTCTTGTTTCTATAAGTTTTTTTCTGTTTTATTTGTTTATTTTGTTTTTTTAGATTCCACATATAAGTGAAATCAAATGATACTTGTCTCCCTTTGTCTGGCTTATTTCATGTAGCATAATGCCTATAGGCCCATCCATATTCTCACAAATGGCGAGATTGCATTCTTTCTTCTGGCTGGGTAATATTCCATTATATATATGTATTACATCTTCTTCATCCATTTCTCTATCGATGCGTACTTGGGTTGCTTCCATATCTTGGCTATTGCAAATAATGCTGCAGCGAACGTAGGGGTGCACGTATCTTTTCAAATTAGCGCTTTGTGTTTCTTTGGATAAATACCCAGCAGTGGAATCGCTGGGTCATAAGGCAGCTCCATTTTTAATTTTGTGAGGGCCCTCCACACTGTTTTCCATAGTGGCTGCACCAACCTACAATGCCATACAGTGAGGGAGTGCTCCCCTTTCTCCATACCCTCGCCACACTTGCTGTTTGTTGATTTATGCATGGCAGCCTTCTGACAGGTGTGAGGCGATCTCTCTTTGTGCGTCGATTCGCATTTCCCCGACGATTAGTGGTGTTAGGCATGTTTTCATATGTCAGTTATATGTCCTCTTCCAATTCCTCTGATTGAAAGACATCATTTGCTTGCACAGCCTGCTCTGTTCCTGCCCAGCCCTCCTCTCTCCCTCACAGCCACGTGGCAGGAAAGAGGCCCCCAGCAGGTGCGCGGCCTGTCTGAGGTCACTCAGCCAGTGCCGGGGCAGTCCGGGACGGAAGCAACCCCGTGGCACCATCTCCGTCGCCAGAGCGGCGGCCAGGGCGGGCCTGGCAGCATTCCAGACAGGTCCTAGAGCGGCGGCGGGGAGAGGCCACTCTCCTCCATGAGAAAGACCCCAAAACACACCGAGCCACCCCCTCTCCCAGGCCTGGTTGCCAGGGCACCGTTGCTCCGCCGGGGCAGCGCCCCACAGTCTCCTAACTGAAAACTTCCTTCCGGGAACCCCGGCCCCACCAGCCAGAGGGCCCTTCAAAAACTGTCCCCCTTCCAGGGTGTCTAATTGCACATGGAATCGTCTCCACATTCCCGCTCCCTGGGGCGGGCCGGCTCCTCGGCGGTGCCCCACCCTCACCACTGCGCCCCAGCCGGCTCTCCAGGTGCCTGAGGCCGGGTCTCTCAGCCTCAGGACATCACATCCAACGTGTCCCCGTGGCCAGCAGGCTGTGGCTCATCTCCATGACCTTGGAAAAGCCTTTCATGAGCATGGGATCTGAAGATGTCTCCTCATCATTCACCCCATTGGTTTCTATCAGCTCCCTGCTATTTTCTTCCCAGCACTAATCACCATCTTTAATTATGAAGTACCTATTTGTGTGTCATTTATTGTCTGTCAGCCCCATCGGCAAGGCGGCTCCCTGAGAACAGGGGCCTCACGTGCCTGGGGTCCCGCAGCCTCCCGCGCCTCGCCTGGGGCCTGGCAGGCACGTGCACTCAGAGGACACGATGATGCGGGATGCTGAGGGTGCCTGGCAGGCCACCGCCTCTCCCAGGCCTCCACGCCGGACCTGCCTGCCTGCCGAGGGCTGGCGCCGTGCGCTGCGGGCCCGGGGGCTCTGTGGCCTGCAGCGAGCTGGCGCTCGGGGATGAGGGTGCGGGAGGCCTGGCTCAGGCTGTCCAGGGCCTCTTGCTTAGAAAGCGAGGCTGGCTGGAGGGCACCCAGCTGACCACGTGAGGGTCCCCCCGCAGCCCAGCTCATTCCGCACACAGCTTTCAAGCACGTGTTCCATGCCTCGGTTGGATCCGCCGACTCTGCTGTCAGGGAACATGGGAGCAGTGAAATAAGGGCCAGACGACATGGGAAGTGAATGAAATGAGCCCGAGAGAATAGAGGGGTCAATGGCTCTGTGGCTGCTTTAGTGGAACTGATGTGGTAAGTAGTAGTGTGTGGAGGTTCTGGGGCCCCACAGTGCCCTCCTTGAGCTCTTAGCCCCTTCTGGGGTGATTGTTGCCTGAGTGTTTCCCAAATGGAAAAGCAAACTGGGGAGAATATTTTCCCCAGCCTGGCAGGCGCCCGGCTGCACACCGGGGGATGAGGGCCGGCCTTGGTGCCTGCGGCTGCTGGGGCCCCTGGCCCGCTCACAGCCCACCCTGCTCCCCTGTGCCGGCCTGGACGCCTGGACTCCCAACTCCCACTCCTCCTGCGCCCTGCTCTGCGCGGCCCTCTGCCTCCCGCACTCAGCCCCCTCAGGTTAAGAGGCCTGGCTTCTGACCCTCGAAAGCCCAAACTCACCATGAGGATGAGCCGCATCCATGTTTCTGTGGGGGTGTCTCCAGCACAGCTGCGCGAGCCAAGGGTTTGCGCGGAGACGAAATGAGGCTCGGAGGGCGGCCAAGTCAGAGCCGGTGATGAGTTAGTGGGGCGGGCGCTTGGCATAGGCCTCAGCCCTGGCTTCAATTAGACCAGTTCCACCGGGAGCGTCCAGGCCTCCGAGCCCTGGCTCTCTGAGGGGCACTGCGCTCCTGTGGAACGTGGGAGGCAGTATCCCTGCCTCTCTGGGCTGCCGCGAGGATTGAGTGAGACACTGCATGTGGTAGGTCCCCAGGACAGCAATGGCACTGAAGAGCCACCAAAAAACCATGCAGGATGGAATGACAGCCACGCACTGCTTAACGATGGGGATGTGTTCTGAGAGATGCGTTGTTAGGCGATGTTGTCATTGTGTGAACATCACAGTGTACATACATGTAACTGTACAAAAGTCACATACCTGTAACCATACAACTGTACATACATGTAATGGTACAACTGACATGAGATTAGATCAAACACAAGGGAAAATGATGAAATCGAGATGAGTAAACTCAAGATGCCTGAGGCTGCTGCCGGTGTGCCTCA